TGAATTGCATTATATCAAAGCAGAAGTGGCTGAAGCGGAAGTAGCCGGAATCACATTTGGAGTAAATGGAATTACATTTGAAAAAACGGAATTGAATTAAGTCAAACCAGAAGTGGTGGGGGAAGGGGTGTTTTTATTTATTTTATTATTATTTTTTTTTAACTTTATTACAGTGGCCCTGAGGTGGTTTGGCTTAATGCAATTCAGTTTTTTCAAATGTAATTCTGTTTTTTCAAATATAATTCCATTTTTTCAAATGTAATTCCGTTTTTTCCAAATGTAATTCCGTTTTTTCCAAATTTAATTAAGTTTATCCAAATGTAATTCCATTTTTTCCAATTTTAATTCAGTTTTTTCAAATGTAATTCCATTTTTTTTAATGTAATTACGTTTTTTCCAAATGTGATTCCGGTCACTTCCACTTCGGTCACTTCTGTTTCGGCCACTTCTGCCTTCTGCTTTGGCTCAATGTAATTCCGTTTTTTTTTTGTTTTGTTTTTTTTGTTTTTTGTAATTCCATTTTTTTTTTTCAAATGTGATTACGGCCACTTCTGCTTTGGCCACTTCCGCTTTGACCACTTCCACTTTGGCCACTTCCGCTTCAGCCACTTCTGCTTTGACCGCTTCCGCTTCGGCCACTTCTGCTTTGACTCAATGTAATTTTGTTTTTTCAAATGTAATAACATTTGTTTCAAATGCGATTCCGGCCACTTCCGCTTTGGCCACTTCCATTTCGGCCACTTCCGCTTTTTTTATGTAATGCCGTTTTTTCAAATGTAATTCCGCTTTTTTGTTTTTTTCAAATGTAATTCTGCTTTTTCACATGTTGCTCATTTACACCTCAGGGCCACCGTATTTAATAGATTTGTTTTACTGTTACTATATACAAGAACAAACTTGTTCTCATACATTATTACAGGATAGCAACAATTGTATCAATACTAAACAATAAGTATTAATCCAAATTAGCACTTTTTTTTATACCATTTTAAAAATTTTAGTGTTTTGGCAATACAGTCTGCAAATCCAACCATCCATACATCTATTATCTTTTACCCGCTTGTTCCTTTTTGAGTCACGGGCAATCTGCAAATAATGTGTACAAACATTTATTCAAGTAAAACCCAGTGTGACAAACCATTTCAGCAGACACACGTAGATATAGTAACTTAAACGCTGGGACACTTGAACTTTTCCTTCATTTCACCTCAGAAATTACAGTCAGGTTTACATCCATTCATCAGGGAATGAATGTCAGAATAAATATGGGTTTTGTATTGAGTTCCTTGAACCATTCTACAAGATGGAAAGATTGCACACTAAAGGACTTAAATAAAAAAAAAAACAGGACTTTGGTGCGCAAATTTGAATTTTTTGTAGATAATCTTTAAAATGAACAGGGTCAAAATTATACACTGTCAAACATTGACAACGAACATACACATACATTCATTTAAATTTTATATGTTGTACTGAATGTCTCAAAAGTATTTGTAAAAGAACTAGATGTGGACAAAACTGTTGATATTCTTTCATTAAATTTAAAAAATGCAATGGTTACTGGAACAACTTGAAACTGACTATAAAAATAATATTAATATGAAAAAAATCAAATTAACTATCGCCATCAGAGCAATGGTTGGACCCAGACACGAGGAGTTTGAGTAAAAAAACAAGATTTATTAGTGAACAAGAAGCTGATGTGGCAGCAGTAACTTACACAAGAAACAATGTGTAGCACGAGAAAGAGGACTGAAGCGTTTGGTGAAAATCCAAAATAATGAGCCGCTGGTGACGAGACCATTTAAATAGCAAACTGAGTGGAAGTGGGAACACCTGGGCTGATTACTGATAGGGAATAGGTGAAACAGGAAAACCACTGAGGAGGTTTACTCAGGGTTAATGGACGGTGGCACTCCACTCCAGTTATTGCTTTTAGATTTTATTTAGTTCTATATAAGTATTTTAGACAGTCCAGCGTTTGGTTCTGAACCATTCTTGGGTGTTTTAGCTCTGTGTTTTGGATCATCATCCTGGTGAAGGATCCTATTGAAGGATCCATGACTTGAGACTGTGACCAAGCTTTCTGACACTGGGCGGAGCATTTAACTCCAGAAAGCCTTGATAGTCTTGAGATTTCATCATAGCCAACACAGATTTAAGACACCCTGTGCCAGATGCAACAAAGCAGTTCCAGAACAGAACCAAAGCCTTCTCACTGTAGGTATACTGTAATGCTTGGCTCTGAGAACATAGATCTGATTGTGGTCCAAGAGCTCCAGTTTTGTCTCATCTATCCAACAGACAGACTTTTCCCAGAAGTTTAGTGGCTTTTCAATACGTATTTAGAAAAATACCAATTTGGATTTCTTGCGATTAGGTGTCGTCCTCCGTTGTCTTCCATTAAAGCCACTTTTTCCTCAGTGACCGATGGTACAATCTGACACTGATGTTCCTTTACCTTGACGTAGACCTCTAATCTCTTTGGAAGTTCTTCTGGGCTTTTTGGTTACTCTTTAGATTTGTCAATTTGGCATCAGTGTTCTAGGGAATTTGTCTCACGTCTTGTGGACCTTAAACTTCTGGATAATCTGTGCAGATTTAGTCACAGGAATACCAAGCGGCTCAGAGATGATCTAATAGTCTTTATATTTAAGATGATGCTCAAATATTTTCTTTATAAGCTCCTGAGCCAACTCCTCAGCTTTCTGTGCTCCATGGTACACACCATGATACCAATCAGCACTGTGACTACCTTTCACCCTTTAGACAGACTGATTACAAAGTTGATGACACCTTTGATGCAATTACAGGATACTCTTTAGTTTAACTTGTCGTCATAGTAAAATTATTTCAAACTTTTTTTAAATGTGCCATTTAAGATATGAAGGCCGGTTCCATATGTTGGTTTTTAAAAGGGGTTCTGTTAAACCAAATTTGAAAAACAAAGACTGGTTTTCATTAATTGATTCTTAGTGTTGTTTTCTTTTAGATTTTTTAAAAATCAGTTTTAAGTTGTTTCAGTGGCCATTGTGGGTACAGTAGTCCCTCGAAACTTCTTGGTTTTCGCGGACTCACTCTTTCGCGGGTTTTCAACATAAGATTATACACGACACATGATTGTCAACTTTAGTATTACTCACGTGATAAGTTAAATGGAGCGAGAACCAACCAATAGACCAAAAAATAATTTTCGGACAGGCGCCACCATTTTGTAGTTTTCTTTCAATAAGCCTATACTGTAATTCAAGTCAAAAGAACTACATGACCCAGAAGCCAACAGTGCTTCCGGCTGCTGCTTTATGCCGAAATTCAAAGAACGAGGGCAGTGAGTTGTCCTTGAACACTGCCAGAAAGTTCCATAGTCCTGATAAAGATTGCACAGTGTCTATCAGCCGGCTCAACGCTGACACAGATCCACAGATGTCCTCGGGAGGGAAGCGATAGGGGAGGGAGCGGAGCTTCTTGTTCACATAAACAACCAGGAGAAGTTTGAGTTAACTGGCCAATTCAAGGCCGAGTGGGGAAGCCAAATTCAGATAGCACAATTATTTTGTGTCAAGCAGCCTCTGCTTGAATTTTCATGTCTGCCTTCATAGTTCTGCTGGTACGTCTCACTGGTGATTCCAAACAGCCAAATTTTGTGGTCATGCCGCCAGACTGAGCTTGTAACCTTCTCCAAGGTCAATTCCTTGCTGCCAGGGAGTCTCAGGAGCCGTAAGTGGCCTGCGAATCTCAGAAATCGCACCCAGCTTACGGCTCAGCTCATTCAGCATCTGAGTCTGAGAGCTTACCGGTCGGTACATTCCTTCATACAAGGCAGGCAGCCTTACAATTGCCAGAACCGCTGCTGCCTTCTTTCAAATTTGTCGATATGCCAGATACCCATCAACACCAAAAAGCAGAAATGCGGTTATCATTAATCTAATTAGGTATGCGTCTTCTACGTCCTCAACGGACAATACAGACAGACACCATCTTCCACTGGCCCCAGGAATCTATAGTGTATCCAGCTGTAGGTGTCCCTATATGTATGTTGTTAAAATCACATATGTTTAAGAGTTTATAACATTGTTAAGAACATTGCAAGAGTGTGGGAAGGATTTATATAGCCTTAAAATATCTACTAAAATATAGCATTCCTACTTCGCGGTTTTTCACCTATTGCGGTGGTGTCTGGAATGTAACCCCCACGATAATTGGAGGGACTACTGTATTTCACTAACAAATCTTGTAAATGAACTTGTTTTAAATGTAAAACCTGTAGGTGTTCTACTAGACCAATTTCCTGCAGAGACCATTCAGCTGAGTAAATCCCACGTCTCATACACACAAGAACTGCAGCTATCATCAACTTACTGTGAGGAGACTAATAATGCCATCATGAGTGTTGTATTCTGGGTTGATTTAAAAGTGACCTTTAATTATAGAGGGAGCAATCTGCTTTGATGCAGGAATACAAATGAGGTGAAATGAACACAACTCGAGTGTTTACATCCCAGCGCCTCTCCGCTGTAGCTGCAAGCTTCATTTACCATGTCTTACCAAGATGATTGTGTCACAGTGAAGGGAAACGTTTTCACTTAAACTTTGCAATAATCCAGCACTTGTGTAAATGAAGCCATTTGACTCGGTAATGAATGACATTTGAAAGGGACTAATGAAGCATTTCAAGAAGTTTAAGAAAACTGTGAGATCACATGGCAGCCAACTCATCGGAGACTATCCAGGGCTTTATATCAGCATTCAGTTCAGCAAATTTCAGAAAAATAAAAACGCAACATATGCTCTGCTTTGTAGATTTAATTTGGATGAATTCCCATGTTTTAAAACGTGAACTTACTGCAGTCCTGCATGAGTTTCAGCTGAAAATGTGCTTTGCTTTGATTTGTTACCTGTCTGGAGAACAGCAAGTATGATGTAACAGACTTATTTATTTTTGGAGTCGTAACATTTCTGTCTTTCCCTGATCCACCTCTCTGTGCTGTGTGTGTAACTAGGAGTATCTAACGGAGCTCCAGGCACTGCTGCGTTCAGTGTCGGAGACAGACTTCAAGCTGAACTCTCCTGAATACTGGCCTGCAGCGTATTATAACCTGCCCCAGCAAGAGCTCTGCCTGAAGGTCAGCACCACTTTAGAGATTCTTGTTGGAAGGAATAAAGCATTTCTCAAGAAATTATCAATATTCCAGCAGTTTGTGACATTAGCACGTTCGTTTACTTTACTATTTTTCGGTAAATGCGAAGTCTAGTTGCTTAGTTTTCTGTTACCAAACGGTATTCTTTTTCTTTTTTCCACCCCTTTTCTAAGACGTATTTCCAATTTTACATCCGAAGACATTTTTACCCACTGATTTAGGCACCGCAAACTCTCTTTTATCTAAACTGGAGAAGGATTGAGTGCTTCTGTTAGGTTGGGAGTGACTCAGCCTCAAGTTGAAGAGGTTAGGTATCTGGGAGTCTTGTTTACGAGTAATAGTAGGATAAAGCCAGAGATGGACCAACACTTTGGGGCCTCAACAATAAAGACATTGCTCCAGGGTGAAGAAGGAATTAAGCCAAAAGACAAAAGAGTTTGATTTCCAGGCCAATCTATGTTCTAACCTTTAACTATGGCCATGTAATAAGGATTATGAAGAAAAAAAAAGTTCCAGATACAAGGGTTTGAAAAGAGCTTCTTCCATAAGGTGGCCAGGATCTGGCTTAGAGATAGGGTGAGGATCTTTGGCAACCAGGGGTGAGCTTATCATTTCACATGAAAATAAGTCAGCTGAGGGGCCTCAGGAATTGGATTTGGATACCTCCTGCATGCCTTTCATTGATTTTCCCAACATGTCTCACTGGGAGGAGACCTAAGGCAGACTCAGAACTTAAGTGAATATCAAGGTCTCCAAGGAGCTATAGGGTCCTAGGCAGGGAGATGGATGGGTTTCCCTTATGGGTTTGTGTTGCTACATTGACCCAAACATGGATAATTGGAGGAACATAGATGGATAGAATCTGAAGTTGTTCAATAGAAGGTAACTCAACTTCAGTTCTGAACATGCCTTTTGAATGAGAGGGGAAATATCTTGTTTTATTTATCTTAGGCTTACCGAAGATGCCATTAATAGATTGATTTAATTGATATTTCCGGAGTTTGGATGTAGAATTAATTGGTAAGATGTTTTTTTTGTTGTGTTCTTCAAGCTATTTCTTAACTTTTTTACATGGGTTGCACACCTTTTTTGTTAAGTTAGAATCATCTGTGGTAGATGGAAATGTTGTAACCAAGTGCAAATTGTCACTGGGTTCCAGAAATGCTTAGATTTGTGGCAGATGTCAATGAAAATTCATATAATTCCTGGCAGGTTCATTGTGGCACAAAATTCATTCTTTTCTTTGGTAAACAATTTCACAGTACTCAATGAATGATTGAGAATTTTTGACTTATTTTAAATCCTCATTCAACTGTATGCAATTCGTCCTTACCGTTTATAATTCACATTTGTTTTTATTATGCACCTTTTTATATAAAATTATTAGTGGTTTTTTTTTTTTTTGTCAGTTATCTGTTCAGTTCCAATGTTTAATTGTCTTCTCTTCCTCCTCATACACAGGAAGTGAAGGAAAACATTGACAAACTAGAAGGACCCTTGGAGACAGCACTAGTCCACAAAGAGGAGATGGTGTTAGCTGCTCGGCCTTTGGAAGGCCAAAGGATCCAAGAGACCGCTGTCCTCCTCAGTACTAACTGGGACAAACTAAACAAACTCTACAAGGACAGACTCAAGTAAGGAAGTTATCAAACACAAAGGAAATACAGTTGTCCCTTGCATAGGCGATACAATAATTCTATGTGAAGGAGACGTGTCCCCCCCCAACATTTAAAAAATATTTGTTTAGACCACCCAACATTTACCATGAAATATTAGTTCACCCAGCACTGTTTCTATATCTTCATAAACAAATCCATTTCACTTGATTAATAAGAGAATACTCAAACCACCAAAAGTCCACTCCGGGTTTTCCTGGTGACCTGCAACAACTCACCACACCACATGCAGTGTCCTCACTGCCATCTGCCTTGGCAGGACTCTCATCTCTGAGGGTTTTTTTGTCAACAGGGCGAGGGGAGGAGGAGGAGACACCTCTGTGTTGCGTACTAGCTTAGCACTATATTAGTACCGGCAGTTGTTGACCGGGGTGGGGTGTGGTTAGGATGTGTGCGAGAAGAGGAGCACTACATCTGTAGCATCTTAGCTAGCACATCTGTGTTGTGTGCCGCTAGCTAAGCATTACATTAGCATTGGCAGTTGTCGATGGGGGGTAGGATGCGTGAGAGAAGCAGAGCATGCTTGAGTCACACAAGGAGAGCTGTTGGTCAGGGTACTTCATGTTATGACCTGCGGTCTAGAATAGTTCTCGAATCGAGTGTTTACATATGTAGATAAACGTAGATGTTTAACAGCCCGTTAAAATACACCAAAATGTAGGAAATGGCATCTACTTTATTCAAAATTTTCTGGGGGAGAACCCCCAGACACCCCCACCAGTGTGTCACCCCCACATTACAAATGCTTCCGACACCAATGATCCCTCGCCATATCACAGTCCACTTCTTGCGTCTTTACTTTATTGCAGGTTTTAGGCCTTAAAGCCTTTATATACAGTGTATGTATATATATATATATATATATATATATATATATATATATATATATATATATACATATATACATGAAATGTAGCAAAAAAATAACCCCACTACTTTGCTGATTTTCACCTACCACGGGGGACTCTGGCACATAACCCCCGCAATAGATAAGGGATAACTGTAAAGTACTGTATATAATTTTTCAAAGGGGTATACTCCCAAGCAAAGTTCAGCAAAACTTTTATTTATGGTTTATGTAACATTGCTTGACAAAACTTAATACTCATCTAAGAAATAACATGTATTTTGGTAATGACGCTGTTATTTTGTAAGGGGTGTTCCGCTGTCTGTTGATGCTTTTTCACTTAAACATATTAAATAAAACAAAGTTGTAGAAAACCAACAAATGACAAAAATAAACAAGACTTCATTATAAATTACAGCAAGTTGCATTAATGTAGTGAAAAATATAATGATCCAAAAAAGATACGACAACAGTCAAGTAAAGAATGTTAATGAATACTGTTTCAGGTATTCAGTAACATATTCAACCATTGAATAAGGTATGAAATGCATCGGGATATGTAATACCGTTTGCTTTGTAAAACCTTAGGTTAATGCCTGCTGCTATTTAGGGTGAAGAGAGCTTAATAACTCAAAAGCTTGAATAGTCAAATTTTGTTCCATAAAGTACAAATCTCATCCCTTACCTAATCCAAGAAATATAATAATTAGCATGAAGGGTCACAGATAAAGACTGCAAACATCCTGATTACCTAAAATTGGGTTATAGCAACAGTTTAATGGACTTCTTACAAATCCAGGCAAAATACAAAAATGTATTTGTCATTGCACATTATCAGTTAGTTTAATTCATGAATTTCAAGATATCTTCTAAGCATGTAATTGTTTTTCCCTATTGTGATCAAACTGCAGCTTCTTAAGGTCACCAAGTAAGAAGGAAAATAAAACCCACCTCCAGATAAACAATATATTTTGAGTAAAATAGACAAAATGAAAGGCTTACACTTAATTGTGAAATAAATGTGGTGCACTAACTGACTTTTAACAAGACTGTGCCGTTTTTGTTCTAGTGTTTTTTTTTTAGCAATGCATTTTAATTAACGCATAATTATGAAAACATTAATGTTAATCTGATTTTTTTTAAATATGGAATATTATTAGGAAAAAAGTGAACAGGCGTAGATATGAAATATGAACTATTCTGGAACAGATGTTCAGTTCATCTTTTGTTAGCGTTACCATGGAGATTTAGCGACTGTTTTTCAGTGTCCTTTGTCATTCCAAAAATTCAGATTTTCAGTTTACCATAGCTGGCAAAGCCCAAAATCTTGCATTCTAGTTTAATGTTTAATGTGAGTTAAGCTTGAAAATTAGTAAAATAAGATTTAAAAAACTGGCACTTGTTTGACTAGCCATCGCCGTAGCGTGCACAAAGACTTTTGCCTCTTTCTCTTTGCTCTATGACTGATGACACACCTAGCTGCTTACTTTACGCAGATTGTACCAAGTCAAGCCTCAAGTTGTGTGTACAACACAATGGTGCAAGCCAACATTCTTCAGTCAAGTCATCTGGACAGTTTCTTTTTTTGTGCTGAAACGTTTCGCCTTCGATCCGGAAGGTTCATCAGTCAAGGAAACGCACAACAAAACTGATTTTTCCCCCAACAGCTTATTCCAAAGTGGAACAAACCAGTTATGTTGGTGCTAAGATGGTCTCTTTGTCACGCCCCCTCCTCCATTGCCGGCCCTCTTCCTTGTTGACAGTCGTGTCAAACTGGTTGAAAACAACAAAGTCCATGGTACAATGGTACAAGCTACAGATGGGCTACACAAAAGATAGAAAATGCAGATAATCAAATTCTGGGCCAACCCCGTCTTGCCTAATCCAATCTAGTAGCACCTTATAGGAAGCTGAAAAGCATATGTAGATAAATTAGGATTTGAGTTCCATACATTACACTAAAATTAAAATAAACAATTAGGGATGCACGATATTGGATTTTTGGCCGATATCCGATATGTTAAAACTTATTTGGCTGATAACCAATGCTGAGACCGATATTTTATATACATTCCTTTGTCAGAACGTAGCCCTCTTATTTAGGCTTATTTGCTACAAAAATTATGTAACAGCTGTAAGAGCTGGTAACATATATTCATTAACAGCCATATGCATAGCACTTTAACTTACATTAAATGAAAAGTGTTAAATGTTATTTATTAGCATTAGTCACCTGCGATGCTGTCTCTCTTGTGGAGGCTTGTTCCAGGTTCCTATAGCTGCAGTGTGGGATCCTCTGCACTCCTGTGCATGAAGGACAGACTTTTTAAGTTCTAAGTTTTTGTCTATCTATTGTGCTGTAAGACTAATCATGCTAACGGGGCTAACACGACGTCCAAATGTCTGTGGTAAAAACTCACCCAACAAGTCGTGCTATCGGCTGTTAGCTTCTCAATGACGTTGGAAATGGCGGCTTGTAACTCGGGTAAGGCTACATCGGAAAAAATATCTGACTGGGGACGATGTAGCGAGGCTCAACGTAGTCCATAAGTCTTCGGAATCCTACAACCTCACCAGCGAAAAATAAAACTTCCACACCGCAGACATTTTGAATTTTCCTCTCCGCCGTGAGATCGGGCAGGTGCACGTGACGTCATCGCGTTGTGCCGCTGCTGCAGGCAAAAACACCACCTTTTATATCGGCGAGTTATTTTAATGGAATGGCCAATGTCCGATACTAAACTTTAATGCTAATATTGGGCGATACCGATACCATGCCCATAATGTGCATCCCTAAAATCAATAAAACGACACACCTCTTCTAGGGCTAGGCGATATATCGAATTTAACGATGTATCGCGAGTTTTTCAATTTACGATGGTTAAAATGGCTCTATTGCAACCATCAAGTATTATTAGAATTGAAAATCCATGTAGTTTTTTTTTCTGCCTGTCTGCGCCGCCAACTTCACACTGCCCCTCCTACCCCCTCACTGAATACAAACGCAGCCCCTCACGTGTTGCCTCACACTCGCTGACTAACGTCGTGAAGGCGGCGCAGCTGTAATAGTTTATTTTTTTTAGACATTTATTTTGAACAGTTACAGCTGTTTAATAAATGTGCCTGTGTGACATTTGGGACAAAGCTTTTTCTCTAGAAATATACTGTTATTACTTTATGGGAAGAAAAAAGATTGAGATATATATATCGTATATCGCGATTTATCTTAAAAATATCGAGATATTAATTTTGGTCCATATCGCCCAGCCCTAACTTCCTGGTCTAACCCAAGTGTTGCGAAAGCTGAATGTTTGACTGCAGAGCGCTGTCTTTAGGGTGCTCCATCAGGTTTAGCAGCAGATTCCTTTTATGTTCCTACCTTATTGTCTTTTTTTAAGATTCTTCCTGTACAATTTCACCATATGTGTTTACCTGCACAGGCTACGTCCAGCCTAATGATGGTCAGCTGTGCTCGAGTGTGTACTTTGCCTTACATCCAGTGTGTACTTGCATTTCAGAATTGCCCATCAATATATCTGTAAAACTACCGGAGTAAACATTTTTATAATTCGCCATTTGATGTAGCTCACCATAGCCCTAACCATTAAGGGTTTATTTTATTCTTTGCAATGAGTAGCTTTTAATTTTACCACGACTGCTAACACATACATGTTTTATTTTTGTGCGAGTGTGTGTAATTAGCAAGTATAATTTTCCATCTGCTCTGCTGTGTTTGTGAAGGCGTTGGCAGGATTGCAGCTCCAAGTGGCAGAAGTTTGTTTCAGATCACAAGACTCTGGAGGAGTGGCTGAATAACGCCGAGAGCACTTTGAAACTGTCAGAGTCTGAGCCAGCAGCGCACAGACAGCATCTCAGGGTAAACACGCAGAGCACACGCAAGCAGCCGCAGACATTTAAATGTTTAAAACTCACCTTTCTACACAAATATAACAAATCTGCACCCGGGCAGCGAATGCGATACATATTTCAACCTAGTAATTGTTTTATTTTTTGCGATTTGTTCATGAAAATATCACGTTTACTGCTCCTGCAGTAAAGTTAATTGGGGAAATTACGTGTTAAAACAATTATATGTTTTAATTAAACTATTCTGTTTGCAAAAGTGAATACAAAAAGCCATACAAAGTACAAAACACAAGTATAAGAATAAGTAACATGTCTTGTTTTACTGTTTTTACCTGCTTATCATATACTTATGGGGATGGATGTCATGTTTGGGCTTTTAATCATTTATTTGGAATGCTCTTTTTTAAAGGTAGAATGATTAAACAACACTTTCACTGATTAAAAAAAATGAATTTGGTGTACAAGTTTGCATTTATTGTGGGTTTTCTCTTAAGTCACACAGAGTCCGAGGTTCAGGCTCTAATAATATGTATTTAAACACCCCCCACTATTATTTACGGGCTGCGATGGTGTAGAGGTAGGGCAGCTGACCTGGGACCAAAAAGTAGCAGTTCAACTCCCCGCCATGCCCACGTGTCATGGTATCCTTGAGCAAGACATCCCTAATTTCTCCCCAGGCAGCTTACATAGCTGCCCACTGCTCCACCTGGGTGTATCTCAGGTGTGATGGGTTAAATGCAGAGAACCAATTCATCATTGTATGGGAGCATACAATGATGACAACACATAGCACTAGTACGTATTTGGTTAAAAACTCCTTGGCAAGTTGCACCCGAACCAGAGGCTTTTTGTACACAAGTTTCTGGTATGATTTTGGGTGGATATTGAATCACTCTTCTTGGCAGATTTTATTTAATTTGTTTAGTTGCCTTGCATGGCGAAAAGTGGCACAGTTGGTAGAGCTGACGCCTCAACTAATAGGTTGCCAGATTATTTATTTAGCCTTTATTTCCACAGGTAGTCTCATAGAGTTGTGAGGACTCATTTTCAAAAGAGACCTGTTTTGGGAGCAGATGATGGGGGTTAACGGCCTTGCTTAAGGGCCCAGAGTGGGGCAAATGTGGGTGGAGGCAGGTGTGGGTGTTTCACCTTTTCCACCCACATTTTAACGTTTTCGATCCAGGGAGTTGAACCGGTGACCTCCCGATCACAGGCCCACCTTCTCTAACTTCTGCGCCACCACTCACCTATAAAGCGAGATTTTTCTGGATGGAGTTTGTGTGTTCTCTCCGTGCATGCATGGGATTCACTGAGTGCAGCGGCTGAATGAACATCCATTTGGGCTTTGATGGATCGCAGCCTGGCAGTATAGTCCCGTCTGAAGCTTAATTAAACTTTTTTTTTTTTTTTACCTCTTTCAAGGCCGATCAGCGTTCGGTCAAATGGTCGTGCGGCTGGTTAATGTATGGCAAGCCATGTTGCCATATAATTGGATTGTCAGCCATGCGCGTTTGCTGACACAATCAAAAGCCAGACATCGGTCCGGCCCGCACATTAAGCACAGTATTATGGCCCGACCCGGCCCTAATCCGGGTCGGACTGGGCCGGGCTATGGATTCGGGTTAGAAATGACAGCCCAGCTCATGTGGTACATGTGGTGGAATGAAATGTGTACACAGGGTCCCAGTTACATCCAACAAAAGTATAAATTGTAAAAGAAAAACGGTAGTAAGATCTAAGATAGGAACTAAGAATACGCTCAACACTTAATAGTGCAGAAACAATACGCCGAACAACAGCAGCACGAACATGAGTCTGTTTGAGCAGATGAGTATGAACGTGAAAACAACAGCATGAAATAAATCAGCAGCATGAGATCAGCAGCATGGATGTGGCTCTGTGATGGACTTGCAGTCTTTTCAGGGTGTACCCCGCCTCTTGCACAGTGACTGCTGGACATTGGCACCAGTGACCCAGAAAGGAAGGAGAAAGTAAAGATGGACGTATGTATGGATGTATGGATGGATGGATGGATGGATGGATGGATGGATGGATGGATGGATGGATGGACGGACGGACGGACGGATGGATGGACAGATGGATGGATGGATGGATGGATGGATGGATGGATGGATGGATGGATGGATGGATGGATGGATGGATGGATGGAAGAGTTTCTTGCATGTAGTCTATGGCCTTGATAAGTTAAAGGACTTTCTAGAACCTTCGGCCCTACTTTCGGTGTATGTATGTATATATTTGAGCTAAATGCAAAACAATTCTGTAGCAACAGTGAAAAATGTTTGAGAGACAGGAAAACTGTCAATCCCAAGTAGTTTATTTGAGCGTGATGCAGCGACGGAGGCCAAATTCTGTTCACCAACCTCCCATAGTGAGATACCGAGCAAGGTTTCAAAGAGAACTGCTTATCAAAAAAGTGGAGCTTGTGGGCGCAGATGCTACCTAAACACATATCAGGCCAGATTCCAATTTTACTCATCCTTCTACATCTAATAATTTGATGTACCACAAAACATTTGTACATTCCTCCCAGATTTAATATCTCTGAGCTTGTTTCAAGTGTCCAGTCCCAAAACAGTATCAGCGTCATGCTTGTACACGGCAGTTTTCAAGGAAAAAAGTGTCTGACGCAGTGTTCTGCCTCACAACAAACAGAACACTCTTTTTTTTTTTTAAGACTTATATAAGGATATTATATCATCGAATCTGACATTTTAATGTTGCATCAACCTAAATAAAAATAAAAACTGAATTGTTGTTTCAAACTGTTTAATCTGAGGATCAGACGAAGCTTTTAGCTTCAGTTAAACTGATGAAATGGATTCAAACCACGCCGTAAACTTGACACATTGTGAAATATAAGTTGTGATCAGGTGTAGATGAACATCCAACTTTCTGAAGGTTTTTTTAAAAACCCATTTGGTGGATCACAATATATTTTGATAACTGACAAATAGGGTTGAGTCCAACAGTCAATTCCAAGTATAAAGCAAATATATTGCACTGTGTAAATGGTAACTGGAATGGACTTTACTGACATAGCACCTTTCTAGCTAACCACACTACTGTAAGAGCTTTACAACACAACATGTACTGTATTTTTCGCCGTACACATCGCTCCGCCCTATAAGTCGCTCCGCCCTATAAGTCGCATCAGTCCAAATATGTCTAATAAAGTGGAAAAATCCATAACTACTTCGCTTTGCCATATACGTCGCATTTATTATGCGTCACCGCTGACAACCCGGAAATGTGGGCCGGTGTTGTGCCAAAAATCGATTGGCTTCCAAATGGCAGCCGCGGGAGCGTGCACGAGAGGACTTTAACAAGAATTTACCAAGATTAACACTTAAAAACAATTGTTTGTTTGCTCAAAATTATAGTAAAGGTGTGTCTCAGTTTTAACTTTTGCTTAATAAATGCACTTTGACGGTCAAATCGGCTGCATTTCAAAAGTCGATTCGCGGCAGCGGGAGCGTGCACGGGAGGACCCGCTATGCTTTTCTTTGAAATTTAACAAGATATCCACCTAAAAACAATTATTTGTTTGCTCAACTTTATAGCAAAGATGTGTCTTAGTCTAACTTTTCCTTAATAAATGCACTTTGATAGTCAAATACAAATACATCAAATACACAGTCAGCTGTGTTTCAAAAGTATTCGTTGCCTCGGTGTTCCGGGAGCATGCAGACAGGGAGGAACTCAGGAAGGAGGAACGATGCGCATTTCTTCGAAATTTAACAAAAACCTAAAACTATTATTTGTTTGCTCGACTTTATAGTAAAGGTGTGTCTCAGTTGAACTTTTCCTTAATAAATGCACTTTAATAGTCAAATCAGCTGCCTGGGCGGCGCAGCAAAATTAAGTTGATTTGACGTTTGTTCCAGGCGAGCTGGACGAAGGTGGAAGGCTATGGCATGCCGATTGTGTCGTTAATAGCTACTTTTACCTATTGCATGACAAGGTGGCATGCCAGCTTATCCAAGTGCCATCTAGTGGCTGTAAATGGTAGTGTTCAATATTTTCAGTCAGAACGAATGAAAACGGTAATACCTCAGCCAAAAATTGGTTTATAAATATGGGGAAAAAATCCATAAATAAGTCGCTTCAGCGTATAAGTCTTGTAAATTATGCAAAAAAACACGACTTATAGGCCGAAAAACACGGTACCCTCATTTGCCATCCACACACATTCATATACCACTTTATTACAACTCTACAAAGTTAATCTGAATAAGTCATTCTATGGAGACTAATCACTGCTTTAGATTTTATCTATAAATGGATAGGGGACATTGAAGGCATTGGGGGTTTCAGTGTCTTATCCAGGGACACTTCGACATGTGTACTTCATACTATCATTCATGTATACTTGTATAATCAAACCTCCAACTCTCATTGGAGGACGACTGTTCTAACCTGTTCTAACCTAGAATCAGGTTGTCTTCAAGTCATTTAGCACCACATTCTCAGCCAACATGCAATGTGCGATCAGAGAGTGCGACCATCATTCAGACGCCCATCATCCCAGTCAACAACGTCTCTCTGCACTGGCCTTAGCTGGCTATTAGAGACCAATGGAAAATGCGTTGCCTTTTTGTGTTATGTCTAGGCAGGATTCTGGCTTAAAAGTGTTTAGTCGTATTACGTATTATGGTAGATTCCATCCAATGGCTCATCAGCCAAACGCATAGAGAAATTTCTACAGAAAGAACAATACTGAAAGTCAATATTGGATGCGTGTGATCTCGAAGGCCATGGCATTAAAACAGGTCTGATTCTGTTCTGGATATCACTGTATGGGCTCAGGAACACTTCCACTGTGGTCAGACAAATCAAATTTCTGGAAACATACACCACACCTCCCATATTAAGGAGAAGTCTGTTATCTGTATAGTCTGTATAGTGTTATAGTCTACTACATCAATTCAGATAGCAGAGTGCTGTAAGAATGTATGTGTGGAGATAAATGAGGGTACAGATTGTGTTTTAAAGTGGTTTGAGTATCTTGATTAGATGGAAAGGTGCTATATAAGTGCAGTCCATTTAAATATAGATTTGAGATGTACGATCATGATCAGTGCATTCTGTTTTACTTTAAATCTTAGACAGCAGTACAACTTTATTGCAACTGGGGATTGTATACCCAGTATCCAGAGGCATTGCGCCTGTGTGGACTTACCAGTTACTCTTTCTGTATGTGTATGGATGGGCGGGTGTGCACAGGACCTGGTGGAGGCTATGCCATTCCAGGAAGTGGTGCTGGGAAGAGTGAACTCTGCAGGGGAGGATATCAGCCAGATGAGCACGCCAGATGATGCCCTGCGCCTCAGATCGCAGCTTAAATTATTAAACGCTCACTGGGCCGACGTCTGCTATCAGCTTAAGGAGCGCAAAAGGAGGTGGGTGTGTCTGGCTCCTCAATATTTTTGTAGTCTCTTTAGCTTAATGTAAATTTGAATGCATTATATTTTATTACCCTAGTTTACATGTACAAAGTGAGGATAAAGTACACTTTTATGTGTAATCACAGTACTCATAGTAGCACAAGCAACACAAACTGCAAGGTTGTTGATTGGTGCCTTTGGACTTGCTACATACGACTATTGTTAGTCAACATCTACGAGCTATTACAGATGCATTAAATGACTTTAATGGTATCCTATAGAAGAAATCTATACTGTAAAATGTAATTTAAGGGCAGTCAGGGTTTTTTTGTTGTTGTTGTAAATGACCAGATAATGTGGAAAAAGCACTGAGCTATGCAGCAAAGTTAAGTTAAAAGGCTGGTGAGCAAATATAAGACATTTTCACCAATCTATTTTATGTAACCTTTTTAAACCTGTTCAGGTTTGAGAGGGGGAGGGGAGTTGGCACCCATTCCCAGTTAGTGAGAGGTGGGCTATACCCTGACTAGGTCACCAAAAGCCTTGCATTTTCTTTTAATCCATTTTTATGTTAGGAAAAAAAAAAAACACACCTCCTAAACTCTTCATGCTTGTTTAATTGATTTAAATATGTTTTCTGGTCAAAATGAAATAATAAGAGAAGGAAGCAATGAAGCAGATCAAAGCTTGTCAGAACTGCATGACTTCCCACAACAGAGATGCCAGACTGCATGCTGACTTAAAAGTTTTGGAACAAAAGATTGAAGAAAAATAAATTATACTTTCTTCTCTTTTTTTCCATTTCTGTGCTCTGCAGATCATCTGAGGCCAGAACAGCAGCTTCACAGCTTGAAGAGGACATGGGCTCCATGCTGGGTTGGTTGGATAAAGCAGAGTGTGTCCTGGCCATCCCTCTGCAACCTCCAGAACCACAACATATCAGAGAGACTCTGAGCAAAGTCCAGGTACAGTCAGTGAACAACAACATTTACTTTTGAACCGCTGAGTTTTGTGTGTGTGCATAAATGTGTGTGTGTGTGTGTGTTCGTTGTTTAAAATCTTGGGGACGTAATAAAACCACCTACTTTAAGGGGACCGTTTGTAAATGCGGGGCAAAAGTGATCTAATGAGTTATGTTATTGAGCCGTTTATATATATATATATCCGACCTCGGCAAGAGCAAGTGGTGAATTGGATAGTCAACAACACATATCAACAACCAAGTGGCATTAAAGTGATTTTCACAGTGATAATCCTGACTAGGGATTCATGAGTCTAACAACCTCAGGGTAGAAGCTGTTCCTCAGCCTATTGGTTCTGCACTTAATGCTCCTCAACCTTCTGCCTGAGGGGAGCAGGGCAAAAAGTGTGTGTGCTGGGTGAGTGGGGTCCTTCATGATGCAAGTGAGGCCCTCTTCTTGCATCTGCAGGTGTAGATGTCTGTGATAGTGGTCATGGGTAATAATTACTAATGTTTAGATTAGCAAACTGGAAAGTATGACCTCTTTTTAGTGTTTATTGAACGCTCTTTTCAAATCTAAAAGCATTGCCTAATTTGTGCTACTTTGACCAAATTTAGCATTTAGTGTTTGGGTCAGAAAACGGTGGGAGAGGGAGCAACTTTTCTATCAGTTTAGGGTAAATACAGTATGTGAGAATATACATGTGTTTGCTGCTCTGTGATATTTTGTTTAATATTGTAATGCTAAACTTAAGTGCATTTTTGCTTTCATTTATTAATTTATTTGGTTTGTGTGAAATAGTGTTGTTTAAGAGGTTTCCTATCCTGAACTACAGTATTATTTAGACAATTTTTTGTGTTTTTGTCTCTTAGGTACGTGTAGAGGAGCTTCCTGCTAAAAAAGCAGTAGTGGAAGATCTGAACTCCAAGCAAAAACTAATTCCCGCTGACAAACAGAGAGACGTCAGGCGCATCAACACTCGCTGGTCTCAGGTCTGCTGTTTCCACTGCAAATATTACAGCAAAAGCTCATTAAACTTAATGGGGCTTCACATTATGTAATAAAATCTGAATCTGGTTCCAAGTCTATTCATCACTGAAAGTGTAAAACAAGATTTAAAAAAAAAGTGACCCAAAGAAGTTATAAACTAATCCTCTGGGCACAGTTAAAAGTTTGTAGACTCTCCAGTTTGTTGGTTGTACTTTTCAAGTACAGAATGCACATTTTTAACTTATTCTTGAGCAAAAACCTTGAAATTAAGACCTCTCTTGGACAAACAGTGGCAACCTTAATTCATACAGTAATGGACCTTTTTATGGATTGTGCATGCTCAAATTAAATGTTTTGCAATGCATAGTGGTCTACATATATTAAGTTAAAGTTAAAGTGCTATGTCTTGTCATGATTGTATGTTCCCATACAACGACGAAATTGATTCTCTGCATTTAACCCATCACACCTGGGATACACCCAGGTGGAGCAGTTAGCATATTCATGCCTACTTCTGTTTTTTTCCTCAAATCTAATTGACTTTTATTTGTCGTTTGTGTATATTTATTATCACTGATCACTGCATCATTTTCCGAAGAAAATGTATTATATATTAATCTTAAGTTTGATGTTTCGCATTCACGTTTATCTATAGTTGGTATGCCAAATTCAAACATCTGGAAAGAACTTCTTCAAGAACCTTTCAATCAAACTATCAAACATTATTTCTATAGCACCTTTCATACAAATCAAATGCAATTCAAAGTCCTTTACAGCAGGGAAATAAAAGGTATCCTATCTAAAAGCTAGAGTGAGCAGATGGGTTTCTAGTCTATGTTTAAATGCATCAGGATTATGGACTCCTCTCAGATCTTCCGGCAGGCCGTTCCACAGTCTCAGTGTGGAGCTACTAAAAGCAGAATCAACAATAGTTCTTGCTCAGCTTTGCGGAATAGCTAAAAGAGAGGAATCGGTGAAGGGGATGTTCTGGCTCGTAAACTAAAATCATCTCTCTGACCTAGTCTGGTGCTCGGCTGCGAAGGGCCTTGCTAAAGAATTTTAAAATCAATTCTAAAATTAACATTTGTGTCTGGAAGGGCATCCAGCATTAAAAGATTGCCAAATTGTTTGTATGAAGATGACGAATAGAGGAGTAGCTGGAAAAAACAATACAACAGACATTTTCTTCAGAACTACGTTTTCAGTACATTTGTAGACATTCTTACTCAAACAGGGCTCTCAGGGACACAGTGACCTTAACTAACCAAAACAGATATCTTTATCAAAATTGGTGGCTTGAGTCCAAATCAAAGGACTCAAGTTCATACCCCTGTTGAATACCAAACCTTTTCAATAACATTGAGTCTTCTCTTAGGTGTCCAAGGCTCTGCCTGAGCGTCAACTGGAAATTGAAGCTCTACTAAAGGAGCTTGGGAATCTTCAGGGTCAACTGGATGACCTGTCTGCCTGGGCATCAAACACCAGAGCTAAACTCGAGCAAAATCCAGATGAGCCACCAGCCAAAGTGAGGCACACTTTTTAAAAACCTGATTGCTTTAATGTCAGAAAACAGAAGTACAAATAGTTTAAATAAATGTCAATAATTTCTGTACCCTTTAAAACCTCTATTTGCAGCTGGTTGAAGAAGTACATGTCAAGCAGCCTGAAGTGGAGTTTGTTTTGGAGAGAGCTAACCAGCTGTTTAAGGACACCCCTCCAGGCCACGTGGACAAGGTCAGAATAAAGAAAACTTTTACAGTTAGGTGTAGCATCCGGAAATATTAGTTTCAGTTTGGTCACAACTTGTTGACTCTAAAGCTAAACCCTCTTTTTTTGTTTTAACAAGAAGACCTGAAAGTCTCATATCGCTACTGACCGTGTACTTGTGTGTATGGATGGCAGGTGAAATACGGAAAGCTAAGGAAAGATTGGACAGTTATCCTGGAGTTGCTGCGGCAGCATAAGGAGAGGATAGCTGCTGCGTTTCAAGCCAAAAAAGCCTGTAAGATTTGTTGTTTTTTACCAGAAAAATTGTCTTGTGTTGCTTTTGTACTTTTTAGATAGTCAAAATGTATACATATCAGCGTTAGGGCTTTTAATTATTTATTTTACCTATTGTTTTTTTCCAAATTAAATGATTATACAGCATATAATTTTACCAATTTTAAAGACAAAACTGGGTACTTGAGTTCAAATTTGTGGATTTTCTCTAATCTACACATGGGGTATATATGTAGGCTAAAATATTTACAGTGAACTCCACTAATATATGGTCAATCTCAACCTCAAGCGTTTTCTATTGATCCGCAAGCTTTTGGTATAATTCTGATTGATGTTGACTACTCTTTTTATTTTTTTTGAAGAAAAAGAATTGGTAGAGTTAAATTAAACTGGTTGCTTTCCTGGGTGGATTGCTCTCTTCAAGTCGAGGGTGAGGTTCTGCCTCCGGTGGAGGAGTTCAAGTATCTTGGGGGTTTGTTCCCGAGTGAGGGAAGAATGGAGTGTGAGATTGGCAGATGGATTGTATGAAGTATTGCGGACTCTGTATCGGTCCTTTGTGGTGAAGGGGGAGCTGAGCTATAAGGCAAAGTTCCCTGTTCACCGGTCAGTCTATGTTCCTAACCTCACCTATGGCCATGAACTCTGGGTAGTGACCAAAAGAATGAGATCGCGGATACAGGCAGTTGAAATGAGATTCCTCCGCAGGGTAGCTGGACTCTCCCTTAGAGATAGGGTGAGAAGTTCAGTTATCCAGGAGAGACTCGGAGTAGAACCACTGCTCCTCCACATCAAGAGGAGCCAGTTGAGGTGGTTCGGGCATCTGGTAAGGATCCTCCCTGGGTGCCTCCCTAGAGAGGTGCTTCGGGCATGTCAGACAGGGAGGAGGCCCCGGGGAAGACCCAGGACATGCTGGAGAGACTATGTCTCTGGGTTGGCCTGGGAACGTCTTGGAATCTTCCCAGAAGAGCTGGAAGAGGTGGCTGTGGAAAGAGATGTCTGGGCCTCCTTGCTCAAGCTGCTGCCCCCGCGACCCGACTTTGGAACAAGCGGTGGATAATGGATGGATGCTTTCCTGGGGCCTCATGTACAAAGACTTTCTTGGTTTTCCTACTGAAACATGGCAAATGCTTAAATTGAGAAAGCAGTGTACACACAAATAAATCCAGATGTATGAAGCTGTACGTGCACATGAATCCAAGCACACTCCTTTTGTACATCCCAATCAACGTTGAGTTAAACGCACATGAGGGAATACCCAACTCCTCCCTTGACATGCCTCCATATACACATAGATTTAAATCTGCCCTGCACCTGAGGAATCAAAAATATCAAAACGGATAATACAGATGATGACGGTTCACTTATACTTGTTAGTATTAACCAAAGTAAAGTTTTGTATTTTAACCCCCTTTCTCAACAAATTGCACAGTCCCTGTGCAGAAAGCTGAATTTAGAGTCTGAAAAGACTAATTCAGCATCTGGTTCAGCTGGGGAACTGGGTGTGCCATGTTTAACAGAAAAGACAGTGGGAGATGGAAACTGCTTTTTTAGGGCATTTAGTCAAACTGTTAGTGGCGCCCAGAAAGTGCATGGAAAACTTAGGTGTGCTATTGTAAAGCATTTACAAAATAATCCACACACATACAGTATAAGAATATTTTAAGAAGCGGCTATTCTTCGATGTCTGAATATCTTGACATGTCAAGGATGCAGTATTTTGTCAGTTGGGCAACTGAAGTAGAGATTCAAGCTTGAGTTGATTATTTGGGCATTAACATAATTACATACTGTACTGATAAATGGGTGGAATATAGTACTCAGAGTACTTTATCAAATCAGTGCATTTAATTGCAAAATACTAATGGTAATCATTATGACACAGTAGTTTGTGTTAAACATAATTCACAAACATGCTATGCTTATTGCATGATTAAAGATATTTCAGCGAAATGTAAAACTCGAAAATCTTCTGCCAAACAGAAAGTTGTGTCTGTGGTTCTCTGCACTGTCAATACGCATACATGCAGGAAAAAGAGGAACTTCACGTAATGCGAGTTGGAGGTGCTTCTAAATCAGATGGAGGCTCGTAAAAACATACCGCTTGGCACGCTGTCCTCTGGCATTAGCGACAAGCGCAAGAGGAACGAGTGGGACAATCTGTGTAAATGCTGTGGTGTCAGAGCAGCGCACACCTGCTGAAATTAAGAAAAAAACGGTCATACATTATGGATGATTAAATTAATTTACTCACCAAGAAGCCGCCCATCTCGCCAGCTTGTAGTCTGTTCCCAACCATGCTGTTCATTAGAATGAATTAATCGTGCATTGAACCGGGCCACTTCGCCACAATGTTGGTTAGTCGCATTTGCACATCACATATAAATTGCACATTGATTGAATTTAAAAACTTCCTGTTAACATAGCTGCATTCATCCTGCAATGGTGCTTTTATAGTGTGCGCACAGTCGATAGCACCAATTTAGGAAAATGCTCTGTCACTGCAAATTGCACTTTAATGTTGGCCTGTTCAACTGCATTGTAGGGAATTTGATAAACCTGGTTGACATATGGATAATTATTCATTCCATACAGCTGACATGGCTCGGCTCAGGGTCGACTGGCACAGTCCCGATCGGTCTGTCAGCTCCCTCTGGACTACCCCTGTTGCTAAGAACCCCTGTGTGGTCAGCAGCTGTGTGTACAGGAAGCACACGGCTCCTTGCTGTGTCGCGCAACGAGACTGGCCACAGCTCCAAGCACAGTTCCACAAGGATTGCCCTTGAAAGCCTAAAATGGCTGATGAGCCATTCGTCATCATGAGCCATAAAAGTACTCTTTGTCTCTAAATACACACACTCTGCGTATTGCACCATTTGCTATCCTCTAATAAGGCTAAAGCCATTATTGTTAAAGGTATTTTCTGCACCACTTTGCACAATGCTTTTATATCCACTCTTCTAATTGCATGCATGTGGAAGTATTAATTGTTCATCAAGTGTGTCCGGTGTGTACAATAATACACAGTCTCCCATTATCACCTCTTAAGTGTCGCCAATGGACCAATAACCATAAAAACGGGTGTGCATCAGCCATGAAGTTGGTGTGGGGGCTGCACACAATTCCAAGTTCATTTCATTCTTCATATATCTGGTTTTACATGAAAAAGGGTGTACGCCACATTTTTTGTGCATAAGTACCCTTTGTAAATGAGGCTCCTGGTATTTTATGCATAGTTTATACAATTTTCAATCAGATTAAGGTCAAGGCATTGAGAAAATTGATATTAGTCTGACTTTTCCCATCAGAAACCAGTTCTGATGTGTGTATTTGGTATCAATGGCCTGGATCACCCAGTTCTGTCCAAGTTCTATCAATCTAGCCATTGATTTGAGGTAAAGTTGAGGAATTTGGAGGTATATCTCTTTTTTTATGATTCTATCCACTTTAAATGCAACATTATCACCTCATGATGCTACTATCATTATGTTTGACAGTGTTATTAGGTTTAAAAGGCTTACCTTTCTTTATTCTTCCAAACTTACTTATCATTGAATCCCCAAAAAATTATTTTTAAGTGTTTGTTGTATAATCATTCTAAAAAGAATGGTTGGTTAAAAAAAACAATTAAAAGCTTATAATTATTATGACATTCGTGCCCATTAGTGTTTGAAACTGTTAAAAATGCCAACTCTTACAAAGTATTTGGTACATTTATTATCTGGTATTTATATTTCTGTATCTTCCACGTCAATCATATTTCTCTTATCGTTTGTATGTCCCAGATGAAACTCCATTAGAAAGTTGCCAGCCTGAATCTGCGGCTGTAGCTCAATTCAACAAATCCTGGGCTGAGCTCGCCGACTGGCTGACCATGCTGGATAACATGGTTCAGAACAAGCAAGTGGTGGTGGCTGATCTGGACGACATCAATGAAAATATTGGCCAACTGAAGGTTAGTCTTGGAGCTAGAGTGCAACAAACAAGTAAACTAAAATGAACAATTCAATTGTTTTTTTTGTGCTTTTTTTCTTTTCTTTTTACTATTAAAATTTACACACACACAAAAAAAATCGCTCGTTTATCGTAAAATTCGAAGCGTTTGTTTTTAGGCATCTCTGCAAGAGCTTGACCAGCGTCGCCCCCTACTGGAAAAACAAGTCACAACAGCTCAAAATCTAAAGAACAAAACCAGCAATCAGGAGACGCGCAACGTTATTACGGAACGCAGTAAGTTACACACATTTTGGACTTTTTGGTTTTTTTTTTTGGTTTTTTTTTTACAAATCCATACCTGAAATTGCATATTTAAAAAAATAAAATAAAATTGGTGTGACTTATGAAGCCCTTTCTTCCACATGAGCAGTTAATAAATTATATAATCCTAGGAGTTTTTTTATTTTTTAAATTTTTTAACTAAGCTTCATTTTTATGGTGATGTTTTGCCTCATTCGAGGAGTTTTCTGAATTGGGTCTTTAGCAACAAGAAAATGAAGTCAAGGTATTTTGTCTAAATATTTTTGGATTTGTCATCATGCCCTGAAAGATTTAAATTTGACACCAAGATACACATTCTAATAAATTCTGAATTATAAGTTGTTCTTAATTGCAGTTTCATGCACTTTCAACTGCAGTGATGAATTTTAATTCATCCAGTTTATTAAAGTACATTGAAAATCAAAAATCATGATTCCACACGTCCACCCTCTTTCTGTAAGGATGTCTATACCAGGTTCTAAAATTATTCACATCTAACATTAAGAGCGTTAAAAACAACAGATTCCATAGAGTCGTCATTTTTTAAAACTAAAATGAAGCCAAAATTGATGAGATGCGTGTGAAAAAATTCCACCACTGTTGCTTCCTCGCGATGGTCCAAGTTACTTGATGCATGTTGCCTCTGGCTAATCTCATCCCCAGAAATCCTTCAACCTTGTGTACAGCTGACTTGAAATTTGATGAGGAGAAAATATAAGGTCTCGGAAACTTTTTTTTTTTTTTGGCCAAATCCTTAATTATCTTTCTTCTTCTTCAAGCTTTTCCATTTTCATGGGTCTCCACAGCAAGTCATCCTTCTCCATCTCATTGTGTCCTCTGTCCTTGCTCCAACTACCTCCATGTCCTCTCTAACTGCATCCATATATCTCCTCTTTGTCTTTTTCCTGGCAGCTGCATTTCTAACATCCTTCTACCAGTATACCCACTGTCCCTCCTCTGGACTTGTCCAAACCATCTCAGTCTGGCCTCTCTAACTTTATCTCCCAGTTGTTCAACCTGTGCTGTACCTCTGATGGTCTCATTCCTAATCTTATCCATCCTTGTCACACCTAAGAAGAACCTCAACATCTTAATTTCTGCCACGTCCAGTTCTTTCTCCTGTCTTTTTATCAATGCCACTGTCTCCAGACCATACAGACCTGGTCTCACCACTGACTTGTAAACTTTTCAAACTTTTTTTGCACATTATGCCAATTTGAACACATAATGGTACATTTTCAAAATCTATTCATCCGTAGTAAAAAATACAGTACACTTAAACAAGTAAGAGGCAATCACGTACTCAATGATGAGGCTTGGGATTTTGGAGTTACAGCTCTCCAGGTTTCAACCATATCTGTAGGTACAGTATATTGGTGGGTGTTGGAAATTTTTTAATAGTATATACCAGTTAGCACACTATTTTTCCTATTAACAAAAAATTCTTAAAATCCCTGACAGTTTAAGCTCCATGATTGATTTTGTGACAATTTTTCTTTGAGATGCTATAGGCCACGCCCACTTCCCTTGTGAAATATTATTCTTGAGCTATTAGCTCAGGTCCTTATCCTAAAGGTCTGTACCAGATTTTGTAAAGATCCAATTGGCCATTTTTGCAGAAAGTTTTTATTTTTTTATGTTATAGCGCTCCCTGTATGCTAACGTTTAACAAGTTTGGCCCAATAACTCATATAATGAACTCCCCTAATAGGTTACAACTGTGTTTATCTAGTTTGCCAAAATTATTTGCCTACACAAATCTTCCAGGTTTTAAAAAGATCATTATTTTTCCTTGGACATTTATAATCCAAATGGTATCTAAACTTTAGATGGAGTTGTATAGTGATCGACTTGAAAACGTTTGAAAATCATTCACAAGTAGGTTTCTCAAATTTTGCGATATAGAATAATTTTTTTGGCGGAAATGGGCGTGGCCTATACCATGTGACTCAGTAGCATGCAGGGGACTTGAGTTTATAAGCCATAAAACTTTGTGACTCACGGTTTAGAAGTTAGACAACCAAATGCAAAGTTTGTTGCAAAATTATAACGTCTCCTACAGGTGAACATGTCTGCGTAATTGCCTCTGTCGTACTCACAAACCACAGTTACTACCACATAAATATCATCTTAGTACTACGTGCAGTTTGGGCATGACTTTTATTTATGGAAGAAAAATAAAACTAATACAAATCGGAACAGTTTCAATAGGGTTGAAAGTTTCCCTGCTTCCACTAGCATGGACCTCTAAATACTTATATTTGGAAACATGTCTATGCTGCATCGCAGCACAAACCCCTCATACAAACTTCCAAGCATGTAGGTGTATTGTATTGTATTGTGTAGGTGTATTATATGTATTTTAGCCAACTAGCCTGTCCTTACAACATTTCTTCAAAGAGAAGACAGACTTTAGGCGAGCCGATTTGCCCTGTTGGCACGCACGCAGCTGGATATCTCATCGACTTGGAAGACTTGATGTGTCCATCTCTGCTGCCATCTGTGGATTTTAAGGACGCATATTTAATTGGATTTACGATAACTAGTTCCTGCTTTTTGGATTCGGCTGGTTGCTGGTTTTATCTACAATCAAGGAAGTCGTCGGCAGCAAATTTGGACCCGATCACGCTGCTTGCCTTTGTGATGGCTTGGTTCGTGTCTTGAGTACCCGAACTCAAATGCTTTGGGCTGAATGGATCAGATCTTGTGGATTTTACTCAGTCACGTTCCATCGGTGTGGCCATGTTAATCTGGACATTTCGGAACCGAGTCGACCAACACAGACTCAAGGTAGATGTCATTAAGTTCTGCCTGTCCCCAAAACAACTGTGTGTTTATCTGAATTTGGCTCCCTTGGCTGGTCTTGAAGGCCACCTTATCTGAATTCACCTGGAGAAAATGTGATCTGACGCTCAACACCCCCTCCCTGAGGAATTTCCAACTGATAACCAGATGATACCAGCTGAATAAACTTTGTGTCATCATTTCAGGACTCTTGGATTCTCATAGATGTTATCCTTGGCCATTCCTCGACACACCTCAAGAATGTTTATGGATCTCACCGGAGGACATTGACTGATTACAGTGACCTCGAGAGCATCTATAAGCGTTGTTGACCGCTCTTGTCTCCGATTGCAGAATGTCTACGTAAACATGTTTGTTTGTGCAAGGTGGTTTTTTTTTTTTTTTTTTTTTTTTCAAATTAGAGAGGGGGGTTTTCTCAGGCAGGAAAAAAAAGTCTGATAGGAATTTTTTTCGCCTCCAACTCCTACATGTGTCCAGTTAACCACTGTTTTTGTCTGTCCAAACAGGTTTCACTTGTAAATGAGTCTTCGAGGCTCAATGTGATTTATCTGTTTAAATAAAGGTTGAATGAAAAAACTTCCAGGCATGTAGGTGGAGGGGTGGTGATTTGGGTTGGTTTTGCAGCCACCAGATTTTAGCACCTTGTCCTCATTGAGTCAACTCATGTACTCTAGAGTCAAATGTGAGGCTGTCTGACAACTAGCTTGTCCAAAATTGGGTCATGAAATGATCCGGAAAAACAGCAAAGGTGCTACAATGGCTGAAAAAAAATAAATAGTCAAGGTCGTCAATGGTTAAGTCAAGACCTTAAGCTGACTGAAATGCTTAACTAGGACCTAACAGAAAAAATGGGCAAAACCTCAATAAACTAAAGCAACAGGTTTGCTTGGTTGTTGGCGGTGTGTGGGGGTGGTCGGTGGCGTGTCCTCTTCATGGTGGGGGGGGTGTCCTGTCGGCGGGGCATGGCCTGGGCCGGGTCTGGGGTATTGGCTCTTCTCCGCTCAAGAATGAATGGGTTTACCTCCTGGGTTTGGGCATGGGCTGCCCCCTGTAGAGGGCGGGTACATGTCTTGGACCTGGGGGGTATAGAGTGGGTATCGGGAACAAGAATGAAATGTATCGTTATTGTATGTCTTTGAGTGAATGAATGTGAGATTGAGGTTGGGATAGTGTGATTGTGTATGTGTATGAATGGGTATTTGTTAGGCCGAGACTCGGACTGCCCCCTCTTTGATACAACTGGGGGTGCTTGGCATCGCGCCCCTATCGCGCGGCCCCCTGGTGGGGTGTGCCCTTGCCTGCCGGCGCGCTTGGGGCCCTTGGTATCGGGGGCTGGGCGCTTGGGCGTGTGTCGGCTCGGCCTGGTGTCTGCCTGGTGGGGCTCGGGTCCTCTGGCCCTGTCAGGCCTTGGCCTGGGTGGTGTGAGTCCTCGGTGCCCGGGCCTCGGTGCCTGGACCTGGACCTACATCGGTGCGGCGGGTGCCGACGGAGGCCTATGAGTTTGTCGCTGTTGGCCCCGGGGGGTCACTGTATGTGGTTGCTGGTGGGGATCTTCCGGTTCTCCCCTGTGGTCCCTTCTGGGGGGTGGGTGAGTGGTTTGCCCTGTGTGGGTGGCTCTGGGGGCTCCGCGGTCGGGGTCCCTCCTGGGGTCTTGGGCTCTGGTCCCCCCTTTTTCGTCTGCCTCTGGTCTTGGGGGTCGGGTCTCTGCTGCTTCACAATTACTAATAAATGTTCTATTAGAGAAGCCTTATACACTTATGCATGCTCACAACCACACACAAATAGAAGCAGGGATGTTTATGTAGGCTTTATATGTAGATATATAGATATGTATGTGAGTGTATATTCATGTGTATGTATGTATGTATGTATGTATATAGGCGTAGGTATGGGTATATATATATTTATGGAAACTTACTGCAAAGCCATGAATATTTTAAGTTCTTCATACATATGTATTTTGTTGCTATGTTTTGTCATGTTCTTTGCAGGTGAACAGACAGTGGCCGGGTGTTTTGACGTGTGCTCTATTTGTATATATTTCTTATATTTTGGAGTCTTACTTTGTCTTTTCTTTCTTTCTATCCTATTAAAAAAAAAAATTTAAAAAAAATTAAAAAAAAAAACCTACACTAGAATGTCACTATAATAAATATTTCATAATAATGGTGTGGAGAGGATGGCTGTAAGGGGAGAAGGGAGGCCATCAAAAAAAAGAAGAAAAAAAATAAAAAATAAAAAAAATAAACTAAAGCAACAGTGGGGCGAAATTTCTCCACAACCATGTATAAAGATTAAAAAAGCCACTACTACGAGTGATTGCTGCTAAAGGAAGTTCTACAAGCTGTCGGATCACGAGCTTGGCTTAATTTACCACGCAACTGTTTTATTTTGGTTTTATTGTTATAGTAAACCCTTTGGAATCTGTTGTGGTTTTGTACACTTAGTTCAATTTATTGCGTAATGATACGTAAAATGTTAGAATTGAATGCTGGTGAACTTTCTTTTTCAATTGACTTTATGTAACCTAAAACTACGTCAACCATTTCAAAACAAGATGCAATCAATCTTGTTATGACTAATTAGCTTTGTTAATTTTGTCAATGGTTTGGCCTCTTCTTTGCAATTTCAAGCACAGAAGAAGACATTATTAGATTTAAATGATTTTTTTCCCCCCTTTTTTCCTTTTCTTTTTTTTTCTCTTTTTTTTTCCCCCTTTTTTTTCTTTTTCTTCCTGAAGAAGAAAAAGAAAAAAAGGGGGAAAAAAAAAGATTTAATTGATTTAACTTATATTTATAAAGCCATTGGTTTTGAGGTAAGAGCTCCAGCCTGATTTTAGCAGACTCCCATTGAACATTCTTTATAGCTGGTTTTCATTGAAATGAGCTCCGCAGTGATGGAGAAATGCAGCGATGACACAGCTGTGACATTGCGGCACTGTTTAGTTTCTTAGAAGGTACATTTGTTCAGCAATTTTTAATCATAAGTGCTTTATAAGTACATTTATAGCTGTCATTATACAGTTGACTGCCAGCGAGTTGTTCCTACTGTATGTGCACTCATCGTGATATTTTTACTCTGTGTTACACACACAGTTCTACATTGTTCTCCTTAAGGAATAAAAGGTAAAAGGTGGAACAGTTCTGAAAAGTCCAGCAGTTAATTTGGATTTGGAATTATTCAGCATCGAAAAATACTGAATATTTCCAGTATTTATTTTTTTTTTAACAATATAAATATTGTGCAAATGCTAACTTGTCGTTCTCACCTGCCGCCGTGTGTTAGCAAAGTATTTTAAAGTACTGCCTCACAGGGCTGCGAGGAGGTCACCAAAATGTTTGAGGATGCTCTACGTTCTTTCGCTTGGGTCATCGTAGCTTGCGCTGTAGTTGATTGAGTTTAAGTCATGCTCAAAAATTTGGGCGGAGTTGTCTCAAGTCCTTCTTAATTTTGTCTTAAGAGACTCCAGCCCATCTTTAAAGCTGTATTTTCTTACTTTTTGCAGATGCTGTCCTTCGACAGAATACATAAGTTAAAATAATAATAATAATAATAATTAATAATATTCAATAAAACACTAATCTAAATCGTCAGATTTTCATTACAGAAGCGTTCAGTGCCGACCTAACTTGGCAAAAAGACCTTTTCCTACTCCGCTCCTTCAACCTGGAACACCTTGCAACAGGAACTGAAGTTGTCCACTTTAATTTCTTTATGGGGTTTCAAACATTTGATAATGTTACTGGAAAAATGAAGGCAGATATGTTCTTGTTTTTAGTATTTCACCCTGTTTTATGGCACCCCGATTTATTGTTTTATACACTACTTTTATTTTAACTGCATTTTTACTGTAGTTTATTATTAGTGATTACTGTTATTGTTGTCTAAACTTTGTATGTCGGGTCTGGAACAGGTCCCTCTTGTGACTCAATGAGACCGGTCTGTATAAATAAAGGTTGAATGAGCGAATGAAAAATGACTGTGCAAGTTGTTTGTTTATAGCTTGTTTTGGTATTATTATTTTTATTCCAAGAGGGCTGGAGCTAAAGAAAGATGAAATTTCTATACATTGATATTGTTGGGCAGGGAAATGGGCCATTTCCTTTGGTTGGGTATTGGTAATGGTGGGGTACTGTGTAGGGGTGCACCGATTGCAGTTTTCTGGCTGATCACCAATTTCTAAAACGTCTGAGCTGCCAATTCCGATTTTGGCCAATACCAATTTTGCTTAATAAGCGACACTGTCAGGTGTTAAAAGGTCACAATGCACCTTCAATTTTCCAATATTTTGTTGAAAAACATACCCTTCATCAATATCTTGGGAAAAAATACAAACATTTTTTAACTGGCCATGAGGTAGCACTCTGAAATATAAATGAAGTTCAGTCAATTGTTGTTAAAACTAAAAAAAAAATCTGTAAAATTGGTTGCTCATTCAAGTATCGGCCGATTTCCGATTTCCCAAAATTAACCGATTTATCGGTGCACCCCTAGAATTGTGTACTGTTTGTTTATTTTTACATTTTACAATAGAGACCATTCTAATATGTGCATAGCCATTTTAGCATTTATTGTCAATGTGCTTACAATTTTTCTGATTTTATGCTTTTTTTTGTCCATCCCTTTCCATGTCTTTCTTCCATTGTAGTTGACAGGCTTCAGACTCACTGGGAAGACTCTCAGACCAAACTGTCCGATAGGCTGAAGCAAATCCTCAACATGCTGCAGGACTCCACAAACTGGCTGGATGCCAAAAGGGAGGTGGATCGTCTCATCCAACAGGCCAGTGAAAGGCTCGAATCGTGGCAGGAGATCACGTACACCGTGGACGCTCTGAGGAAGCAACACGCCGATCTGAGGGTGGGCTACACTTATTCAGCGACTGCATGGATTTACAATAAAACTTGGCTCACAGTTTTGTTGGTCTTACAGTAAAATGTATCCCTAATCCCATTAAAACATGCCAGTAAAGGATCTAAAGTACACACAGTCTTCCACTGAGCATGAAAAGTCTAAACTGATGACTGCAGTAGAGGTTGTTTAGGCCATATTTAGTTTCAACTCAACTTTATTTTGGTAAATTAAAAAACATTACAAAAAGAAAAACAATATCAATAAATCAATAATTTACCATAAAAGGAATAGGCTGAAGCCAAGGCTTATACTTGCCTACCCTATTCATAGACTCATAAATCTACATAATGACAGATATCTACTGTCCATACATATACATACATAAATACACACACAGACATTTAGCGTATATTTAAATATGCATGTATATACATACACATACTCACATTACATACATACATGGTTACACAATACATATATACATCTACATAACAGTATAAGCTTGTATAATTTTACATTTTAAGGCTCTTTTAAAGCTCACCAAAAATGCACATAATTTGAGATCATCCAGTTCGTTCCAGTTTCACGTCGATAACTGAACTACATCTAGATTTTACTTTACTTTTCTCTTTAGTTTGTTCAAATATTAACAAACCTTGTAAATTATATTTACTCTCTCTTAACTTAAATAATTTCAGAATTCAGAAGGAATACTTTTATTCAGTGCTTTAAACATTATTTCCAGTATTTTTATATAAATAATGTCGGTAAATTTTAAAGTATTACTTTGAATAAAAAGTTTAATTGGTTCATAATATCCCACTTGATTAATAAGCCTAATTGTTGGGTTTTTTTTTGTAACTTTACTAATATGTCAATAGTTTTATTTGCGTTTCCCCATCTTTCTGAGCAATATGACAAGTATGGCATAACCAAGGAAGAGTATATAATATGCAAGCCTTTTACATTTATTAAATATTTTATTTTAAACTTCCAACTAAGTTTGTTGTCCAGAATGATACCTAAAAATTTTGTCTCATAAACTCTGTCGATTTCAACTCCATTTATATGTAACTTTATATTATTGTAAATCCGATTACCAGAAAATACCATAAATTTAGTTGGTTTTTTTTTTTTTTTTTTCATTTAAAGATAGCTTATTATAATCAAACCACTTTTTTTAAAAACTCTTTTTCTACTATTTGTAGTAGTTCATCCATATTCTTTCCAGAAAAAAAAAGGTTTGTATCATCAGCAAACATTATAAATTTCAAAATACTGGATACAGTAAAAAAATATCATTTAAATAAAGTATAAATAATTTAGGTCCTAGAACTGAGCCTTGAGGAAGACCACATTTTAAAGTTTCAATTTGTGACCTTGTGTTGGTAATTTGTACATATTGGAACCTATTAAATAACTTTTTTAACAAAAAAACGAAGTCCAGATGACATGATTCAACCTTTTTTGTTGTTATATACCTGGATGACTGAGAAAACAAACTTTGTGTTTTTGAAACCATTAGTGAAAAGGCCAGACTTCAGGGGTATCTGAGGCAGGCTTGAAACACAAGAGTCAGGGTGGCTTCTGGGTAATACCAGATGGCTAGGCCTCAGACTGACGAAGCCTCTTGGATGAGGGGCGAAACGTTTCTTTTTAACAAAAAAACGAAGTCCAGATGACATGATTCAACCTTTTTTGCTATTAAATAACTCTTAAACCACTGATGTGTAACACCCCCCCCCCCCCCGTAAAACATATTGTTCACATTTTCCCAGTAGTTCATATTTAGTTCTGCCACTGTCACACAGATAAACTTGTACCAAAAAAAAACATATCTATAGTCTTTACCAGGTTCTAAATATATTCAAATGTCAAGTTTTCAAAAATACACAACAGATACAACCATGGAAAATGGAACGGCAGTCAGGTTGAGGTAATAATTATGTTATTTCTTTTTTTAACAGTTCTGTTGTAGATTAGCTGCCATGTTTGAGTTTGAGATCATTTGTTCAGTTGCATCATGACCCAGTTTGGTCCAAGCTTCAGCTATTGGATAGCCGACTTCATATTCGAATCTACAGTAAAGTCTTTTGGTCTACAGAGGAGTTTAGAGTTAACTTGGTCGCTGCAAGGACTCTGGTCCCTTTGCTACAAAACAAACCTAAATCTCGAACCCTTCTGTTTATGGAAAAACATTCTAGCTTACATTGGTTTCCCAAAAGAACCACTCGACGGCAGAAGATTTTTAACCAGCATTTTACTTGCAAGAACCCATTCCAGATATTACATACGTGGATACATAAAGCTTATGCAAGGAACATGTCACAGAAATGAACGTCCTATAGAGTCATGTGCAGACGTTTATACAGAAGCAGAGTCCAGTGGGAGTTCCCTCATAGCCAGCCGCAGTCTGGAAAACAGACATGATCCATGGCCTTCAGTGAGTCGGCCTCCAGATGGAGATAAGAGAATGCTTTGGGCATGTTCTCATGGCGACAATGCCAAGAAGGTGAGTCAGCGAGACGGCCTCCAGGTCGAGATAAGAGATTGTTTCAGGAGAAAACTTGATTCTTTGTTCTCAGGGGAAGAATATTAATAATACGACGTCCATAACCTTTAACCAAAAATTCTCTGACACCTTCACCACTGTTTTAGTATATTGTGTTTGTGCGGTTTGTTTTTTCCAAACATGGTGCTGTGCATTATAGGTAAGCCTCGATTTTGGTGTCATTTGTCATAAAGGCATCGTTCCAGAAGATTTGTTCTTCATTCAGATGAATTTTACAAATCAAGTTATGCTGCCATGATCTTGTGGAGAAAAAAATATATATATATTATATATAAATATAAAATATATATATATATATATTTTTTTTTTTGGTGCAACCCTTCTATAAAACCATATTGATCCAGTCTGTTTTAATTGTCCTTTCATGAACTTTAACCTTTAACATGCTTAGGCCTGTCGTATCTTAGATGGCGCCATAAAGGCTTTTGAAGGTTCTCTGAGCACTGAACACTCTCACCTGGGGTGAATTTGCTTGGTCATCCACTCTTGGGAAGATCACCAGCTGACTTAAACGTTTTCAACTTGTAACCATAAAATGATGGACTCCAGGTTAGTTTGTAAATGACCTTTACTCTTTCCCAGATTGATGGGCAACAACATTTGTTTCCCTAAGGTCATTGAAGATATCTTTCTTTTTGCATTGTTTTAACACATCAGACAAGTGATGATCAGTTAACCAATAGATTTAAATAGTAGTACCAGAATTATACTAAACCTCTTTTACCCCCCCCACAAGGAGGCATCAAAGAAGGACTTAGTTTTTCACAAACTGCTTTTTCTGACTGGCAAAATAGGGTATGGCCTAAACGGCCTCTCATACATCCAGACTATGATTACTCATGCAAGTAATGTTTCCAAAAACATTTAATAAATGATCCCATTCATTAGTTGTCCTTTTTTTTTTTTAAACTATCTTTCTGTTTTGTTCTTTCTTCTCTCTAGCTCTTTACAAAGGACCTGAAGCAGTGGCAGGGACAGGTGTTTGAAACTAAAGCACTGGCCAATAAACTGCTGGCACTGTATGCCAATGACGACACCCACAAAGTCACACAAGTTGATGACAACATCATGACCACATGGGCGCACATTAACAAACGGTAACCATTCGTTTTGCTGAGATTGTACTTGTGAGCTTCTCTTGTGCTCCACAACTTTCCCATCAACAGACAAGGGAGGTGAATGAAACTGTAGATCATTTATCTACAAGTGATAAACTTTTAGAGTAAGCCCAATTCAGGATGTACGCCACAGCCAACTGACCAAGGGTGTCTTGAAGCTTAGAAGAGTACAATACAATCTCAAGACTATTAAGGCATTCTGGAGAAAAAAAGTGCAGCCTAGGGTTAGAAAGACTGGTCTCAATTGCAGGTCATGGGTCCTCCAACTGGCTAATGACCCACAACCCACGGATAAAATACCAAGAATAGCTCAGAATCGAACATTGATCTGTTCTGAAGTGACCTTCTGAACCCTGATCTGAATCCTGTGGAAGGAGCTGAAACATGCCGTCTTTAGCAGTGAACCAAAATACCGGAGGACAGGTCGAGAAGTCTCAGAGAAAGAGAGATACAGAAGTCACTTGGATGACTCCAAAGGTTGTGCAACAAAATATTAAGTAACGGGTATCATCCTTTTATTAGTTTGTGTTTTAAACAATTTTGTTGAACTAATACTCAAAAGCAAGGATTGCCATCATTGATTTGTTGTCTTTTATTACTACTGTTATCAGTTTTAAGTTATTTCAGTGGCCATTGTGTTTTTCTTTTTCTTTAACTAAATGTACCAAAAATTCACCCATTTTTTTTATGGTAAAGGAAAAAAGTTGCATTGCAACTCCATCTCATAGGGTTGTGTTGGTGTTTTATCTCTGCTAAATTCATGATCATGTAGTACAAACAAATGCAAAATAGATCCAGTACCTTTCTCCCTCCAGTCAGGAAATAGGAATTGCTTTGAAAGAACAAAATAGGTGTGTTGTTCCAGATCAGTGGCGTGTATTAACCTGGGTACATCTGTCTGCATGCCCAGTGTTTCCGATAGGGAGGCAGCAGTAGAATCCGCCCTGAAGCTGCTGCAGCAATTCTACTTCGATCTGGAGAAGTTCCTCAACTGGCTGACGGAGGCAGAGACAACCTGCAATGTTTTAATAGATGCCACTAACAAGGAGAGAGTGCACGAGCAGCCTGAGGCGGCCAGGAAACTGCTGGCACAGTGGAAGGTACGACACACACACTCACCTCCAGATCCTCCTTATTAAGGTATAAAATTGTTTCACAAGGCGTGCAGCTCTACGGCGGCTTGGATAGGTTACACAAATTAAAGATATAACTGAAAGACCTTATTGTCTTATTACAATGATTTTTACCATGGGTCTACATCTTGCTTTCCCAAATCCCTGTTTCTTTCAGAGTTCAGGTTACTCTGCTAAACTTCAGTGTTCTTGGAGGATGCTGTAAGGTGGAGATATTCTTGTTCTTCTCAAACAATTCAGCCAACAATAAACAAAAAAGTTAAAAGGTTTTCCGTAAGACTGAAGAAGAAACAACCTCAATGTCATGATTGTTGCGTGTTCCCTGGGAGGGTTCCCTTGAGTGCGAGTTTGTCAATCAACACACTGAAAAGTGGTGTGTTCATAACAAAAACTGTACATTTTTTAAAATTATTTAATTCAGTACACTTCCATTCAGTTTATTTATAACTGGGCAAATCCCATTGAGATTGCAGATCTCTGCGAAGGAGGCCTGAGCTTCCATGAAGATGTAGGTAGCACATGGACCAGAAGTCAAAGCCGGTACAAATCCAACTTTCATTTGGCTAGGAAGTTTCTGGTTTCTTTGCTTTGAAGCATCAGTCTACCTTCAGAAGCCACATAATCAGGTCCATCTATGGGCAATCTGATAACCATACAATCTCAGTATACTTGTACACCTGTTTAAATAGCCCCCAGAACCAAGACTAGTGCAACACCTTTACGTGGTAAGGGCTAAGATAAACAAAGACCAAAGGACTCTTCACACAGTCCAGAAACAAAGTTGTGGAGAAGTATAGATCAGATTCAAAGCCCTGGACATCCATCCATCCATCCATCCATTATCTTTACCCGTTTATTCCATTTTGGGTCACGGGGGTCGCTGGTGCCCATGTCCAGCAATCACTGTGCGAGGGGCGGGGTACACCCTGGACGGGTCGCAAGTCCATCACAGGGCCACATAGAGACAAACGAAACAAACAACCATTCACTCTCTCACTCACACCTAGGGACAATTTAGAGTTACCAATCAGCCTAACATGCATGTTTTTGGTCTGTGGGAGGAAACCGGAGTACCCGGAGAAAACCCACGCATGCACGGAGAGAACATGCAAACTCCACCCAGAAAGGCCCCTGGACCGGGGTTTGAACCAAGGACCTTCTCGCTGAGAGGCAGCAGCTCTACCAGTTGCGCCACCGTGCTGCCCCCTGGACATCCAATTAAATCCATTATTAGGTAATGAAAAGATTATGCTATCACAACAAACCTGCCAAAACTCATGGAATGAGTAAGGAGGGCATTATTCAGAGAAACATACAGGACAAAGAAAACCCTGATGGAGCTTGGCAGCTCGCAGAGAGCTGGGATCCATGGAAGAGTGACAGGGAAAGCAAATGCTGATTAAGTAAACATTAGGACAGACTATTTGGAATTTTATGGGGTATTTTTCACTAGCAGGCATTGAAAAAATAGTCAGAGTTAAAGGAGCAATGAATAGAACCAAATGTAGAGTAAATATTGAGGGAAACGTTGACGTTTTAAGAGATTTGAGACTGGGACAAAGGTCTGAAAGAACCTCACTGCTAACCAAACCGCACTGTAGACGTATTTCTTTTTCACTTTGGATGCCTTGTTCTTTTGTATTTGTGCATGCTTTGGTATTTTCTTGTTGTTTTTTGGCGAGTCAAGACTGTTCTTCTCGTCCTCAGCATCTCATTGCATTGTTGACCTTGTGTTGATTTCCATCCATCCATCCATTATCTTTTATCTGCTTCTTCCATTTTGGGTCACGGGGGTCGTCGGTGCCCATGTCCGGCAATCACTGTGCGAGAGGCGGGAGACAACCTGGACAGGTTGCAAGTCCATCACAGGGCCACATAGAGACAAATGAGACAAACAACCATTCACTCTCTCACTCACACCTAGGGACAATTTAGAGTTACCAATCAGCCTAACATGCATGTTTTTGGTCTGTGGGAGGAAACCGGAGTACACGGAGAAAACCCACGCATGCACGGAGAGAACATGCAAGCTCCACCCAGAAAGGCCCCCAGACTGGGATTTGAACCAGGGACCTGCTCGCTGAGAGGCAGCAGCTCTACCAGTTGCGCCACCATGCTGCCCTTGTGTTGATTTGTATATGACAAATAAACCAAACCTGTAAAGGTTCACCTTTCAGGAGGACGATGACCCTGAACACACTAATGAGACACTCTATGACTTTAAGGAGAACCCGTTTATCCAACTGAAAATCTCTAATTTGAATTAAATATTGTTGGACCACTGCAGCTTCTATCCAATCTGAAGGAGGTGGAGATGTTTGAACATGCAAAATGAACACAAACTTCTGAGGTTCATGAAGAGGCTTGATACCAAACTTGGTATTACAAATCATTCACTTGGGGGAAGTGAATACCATTGAACACATCACACTTGTTAGTTTGATATGGTTAAGAATGGTTCAAAATGTGTTTTCCTCCCATTAGAGTACATGAACTTGAAGAATGACTTCAAAATCCCAATTAAATTCCAGGGTCCAATGCAAGTATACCAGAACTGATTGAGACAACTGGACTTGAAAACAAAATTCACTGTCTCAGTGCTGGCTGGTATGACAGCTATGTTGATGGAGCAGCATGGAGAAAGTTTATTGGTTGGTCACTGACTGGCAGACAAATGCAAAAATTCTCCCACTGCATTGTGGGTGTTGAATAGCAGGCTCTGTTCTGGGAGAGCACATAATTTGACCTCTCATCCTGCTCCTACTCACTCTTTTTGGGAGAATGGTTTGTGCTTGGTTACACACATGTAGCATGTTGGAAAATAAATTTGAAACACACTCGCAAATTCATGCCTTCGTTCTCTTTTCACACATGCAGAGTCCGACAGTGTGCGGCGCCGAGATAGTCTTCTGTGTCCAATTATTATGGCAGCTGGCAATGCAGCGTAGCATCCAGAGAGCACACACACTCTCTCTCCGGGGCTACAACACCATGCGCAGATAAGGTTTAATTGGAAAACAAGCTCAGTCATCATTTTATTCCCACTTTCAACTTCTCTTTGCCTCCCTCCTCCTATCTCCGTCTCACCGCCTTCTGTCTTTCCACTAACTCACAGTGCCCAGCTCCCCCGCCCTCACTTTCCTTCTCTTTTTCTCCAGTATCGCTCACTGTCTCACACATATTTAAGCCTAGGATATTTTACACAGCTGAGAGCTAATTTCAAAGAGAAAAAAAGGGTGTTTGTGGGTGGGGGACTACGACTATTGGTGATTGGTCTTTACGTCTAGTTTTGGCCGTCTTGGGTAAAGTTTAGAGGATGCTGCGAAGGAAGGTCTACCATGTCCAGGTTGGGAATTGAAATCTTTCTTTGTAAATTAGCACTTTGAACCAGAGTCAACATCAATGAACAATGAGAAGATATGTATAAAATGTACTTACTGTTTAGTCTTTCAGGTTTGAGTTTATAGGAGATCTAATTGCTAAGAGTTTTGGCATTTTTGGAAAAACGTGTAAGATCATTTGATCTTAGTCCAATAACTTTCTATAACCACAAAGGTCAGTTAGATCTTTAGATATTCTTCTCATTGTGGACCAATATGTTTTATGTAAACCCAAGGTATAAAAGTAATTGTAAACACATTCTGTCAGATAAAGTTCATGTTGTTCTTATTGTTGGACTTCGCAAGTAAACAGGAAATATTTACGGTAGGTCCAATGGAAATAGATATCGCCACCTTGCATGCCAAACACTTAAAGATCTCACACAATCCATCAGAGCTCAGAGTATATTTTTGAGATTATTCTCAGCTACTACCACAATTTTTCCTGAGAAATTGTAAAAATTATGGAATTGTAGCCGTTTGTGTTTGCTAAAGAAGTATCCCAGTGAGCTGCGACTGTTAGAGATATGTTGGCTTTTGCAAGTGAGTCTCCAAATAGCTCAAACTGTTCTCAATTTTTTGGGGTGAGTTAGAAGTTAGCTGTCTCTCTGCTTGAGTTTGGAAAATGTTCAAAAAGTTTGCGTGGCAAATTTTCTTTCAAGCTAATTGCGGAGTTGTGGGCAAACCTTCTCAATTTAGCTTGGGTGTAGAGGTCTAGAGCTGGGCAGAGATCATGCAAACTCCACCCAGAAAGGTCCCCAGCCAGGATTTGATCCAGTGACCTGCTCACTCAGAGGCGGCAGCTCTACCAACTGCGCCACCGTGCTGCCTGCTGTTGATACATGTTAGAAAATTAAAATTTAGGTTACCTAAAAACAAAAACACACTGCGTCTATAGCCTGTGTGTACTGGACAGAATCAAGAGTCTCTACTGCAAACACAGTTTGATAAACAAAACAGTCATTTTTATTTTGGCGGCTGTGGCTGAGTACTTAGAGCAATTGTCCTCTAATGCAAGAGTTGGGGTTTCGATTCCACCAGCAGTCACATGCTGAAGTGTCCCTGGGCAAGACACTGAACCCCTCATTGCCTCCGATATGTGTCCTATTTGTGTATGAATGCGATAAAGCACTGATTAGTCTTTGTAGAGATCTAGTAGAGTGCTGTATGAATGGGTAAATGAGGGCATGGATTATGTTGTAAAGTGCATTGAGTATCTTGATCAGATAGAAAGACGCTATGCAAATACAGTCTATTTACCATTTACCATTACATTCTGTATTTGTCAGGATGTTTGTACTCACAGTTCTGAACCATAAAGTGTTTAAGTGACCAAAAGCAATGCCTTATCCCTCTTTGTTAGAATAAACACACTGGACACTTTATCTATGCTGCTATGCTACTTATTTCTTACCTTAAGCTTCTATATTCATATCCATCGCCAAGATGGGGTTGAGGTAGGGCAGCTGACTCGGGGACCCGAAAGTCCCAGGCTTGATCCCCAACCAATCCCACATGTCACGGTGTCTCTGAGCAAGACGCCCAATCCCCATTTGCTCCCCGGGTGCCTACATAGCTGCCCACCGCTCCACCTGGATGTATCCCAGGTGCGATGGGTTAAATGCAGAGAACCAGTTTCGCCATTGTATGGAAACATACAATGATGACACCACATAACACTTTATTTATTATTTTCATCTTAGATCTGTCGTGTTCTGGTGGCTATGTGTCGAACCAAAAAGTAGGCCTACCATGGAGAGTCGGAGAGTTACAAAAAAGATTTTTTTAACAAAAACAAAAGGCTGACTGGGGCAGCAAACTTGCATTAAACACATTACAGGATAATGCCCAGATGATGAGGAACACAGAGACTTAAATAGGGACGTTAATGACAGACAAATGACAACACCTTGGGAGGAAAACAGGTGGTGGAGGTAAGAGCTGATTACACAAGGAAAAATAACAGGAGCAGGAACGAACACGAGGGAGACGCACACAAGAGAACACTGATCCTCACAAGATCCTTGTATACCGTTTCTTTCTTTTTTTTATGTACTTTATATTATTGCTATTTTGGGGATAACTAGGACCTTGAGCACAAAATTTTGTTCCACCTCATGTGCCACATGTGATGCGAATGACAGTAAAATCTCCTTGAACCTTTCGGTAACAAACTGGTTTTAAAAAAATAGCAATTGATTCCACCCTGACAAATGTTTTCACATTTCACTTTGCGTGTGGCTCTCACCACTGTCACAATTTCTTGTAGGATTGCAAACAAATTCAAAAGCATCTCAACAAATCTATTTTGGGGGCATACTGTGTGCGTATCACAACAGGACCTCCAGGGAGAAATCGACAATCATGAAGATCTGTATCACTCCTTGGATGAGAACGGGCAGAGGATTCTGGCCTCGCTGAAGGACTCTGAAGACCGGGTTCTGCTCCAGAGACGTCTGGACAACATGAGGCAGCGCTGGAGTGACCTGCGCACCAAGACACTTGCCATGAGGTGGGTGAAAACTGGGAATACAGTTGATATGAAGCAATGGAAACGGCTCTAGATAACAAAGGGAGGGATCTCTTGTCCATTTTCTAGATCTCAACTTGACTCAGACATGGCACCCTGGAAGAGGCTCCACATGTCCCTGCAGGAGCTGCTAAACTGGCTGAGGCTGAAGAGTCAGCAGCTGGAGCAGGAGAAGCCTGTAGGGGGCGACGTTCCCTCTGTGCAGATCCAGCAGGACACACACAGAGTAAAACAAAAAACACTACAAAACACTCATCAAGTTGTAAATTTTTTGTTGCTCAATATCAATTCAATAACAATATTGACAATATTGGCGATATCGACAATATTATTGATTTATCGTAATTGTACTGTCAGTTATCAATATCACAGAGGATTGCAGAAAATCGCTGATTCAAACCCAATGCCAATAGATTCCCTCTATTCTAAATGTCCACAGCTCATATAAAAGAATTTAGCGAAAATGCTAAAGCTAAACGTTAAAGCAACATTAAAAAGTGTGAGCTTTGTGATGATCGTAGAAAAAAAGGATGCCTGGACACTTGTCAGATTGTTTATATAGAGCTGTAAATTACATTTTCATTAACGATTTTATATACAGTTTAGAACAAGTGTACAATTAAAGAAAAAAAAATCATATTTAACTTGACCATAATCAGTTTGTCATTAATTTCTTAGTAAAACATTTTTTGACAATCCAATGTATATACAAGAAAAATCTCTCAAAAAAATTCTAAACTTACAGCTACTGACCTTTTACTTTGAAAATATAAGAAAATTAAAAACAAACAAAAAAAGAAAATGCAGTAGTCCCTCATTTATCGTGGGGGTTTCCGTTCTCAGTCCACCCGCGATAAGTGAAAAACCACAAAGTAGTAATAATAGTACAAGTAGTAAGTAGCAGTTTATTTTATAAACTATATACACACATATATATGTATATATATATATATATATATATATATATATATATATATATATATATACAGTTTATAAAATAAATATATTTGATCTCCGCTCTCTCTGCCAGTGTATTTGGCCACGCCCACTTCTCCACTGCAGTGCAGAGCTTTTCCCTGCGTCTGTGGGCTGCACACAGGTGCAGCAGGCGCTAACTAATTTTAAATAATTTATTTTAAATATTAAAAAAATAACATGCCAATCTTGCAGCTCATCCATCAATCAGCCAATTGTGTGTCGTGTCCAATCTTATTTTGACAAACCGCGAAAGGGCGAGTCCGCGAAAGTCGAACCGCGAAGTAGCGACGGTCTACTGTATACATTTACTGTAAGCAGGTGCTCGTGCTCTAAACAGATGAACTCAAGTTTTAACATTTGATCTTGACTGCGAGTTTAGCAAGAGTTTGATCTAATTTGTTGCGCTTTCCACGTCAAAAGCAAAAACTACAGAGAAATTTAAATGTCATTTTCTCAACTTAGCTAATTACCATGAAAAGTCTGGATTAATTATGCTCAAATGTTAACGCAAAGAGAGAAATAACAGACTATCACAGAAAGGTGGGCCATATTTATAACATTTTAAAAATCTTACGGAACACATAAAATTGTAAAAAGGTTCATACCTGAGCCTTCAGTTGACACCTGTAATTTCCAAACTCATTTATTGTGATAATATTTTAAACACAAAATCACAATTTTGTCCACGTTATGATTTTAGGATCATGGTGTTTGGTCTGTTTGACTTATTTTCTTCTATTCTGTAAACTCGAGAAATACAAAGGCCTGTTTTTTACCCCCCCAAATTCCATAATGTTTTTTTTTCTCAAACTCTATTTGTTTTATTCTAAAATCCACTCTTTAAAATGTAGCCACAATCTTCAATTAAATTTTATGGTCAACAATCCAATATCAAAATATCCACAGTGTCATTATTTTGATAAATTTAGGAAAAACACATAGCTGCTAAATGCTAAAAGTAAAAAAAAAAAAAAAAGGCTATTTAAAAGCTAAAAAGTTAGTTTGAAGTAGCGAAAGGCTAGCTAAATTAAACAGAATGTTATATTTTAACTCAAATTTGCATCAGTATTAGCATTAACAGTAGAATTAGCATTGTAACTAGCAGAACTAGCATTAGCAATAATGGTCATAGCATTAGCATATATAGAAGTAAAAATATGCAGTAGTAGTATTAGCGTTATGGTAATGGTAGAAGTATGCTAAAGAAGATAAAAAGAATGTTTTTAAAGGATTTGAAGAAATGTATTTTAATAGATTTTTTTTTTTTTTTTTTGTATGTTAAATATATTGAAAAGTATGAAAGTTACGAAAACAAAAAGTCACGGCAACTCTCTCCAGAACAAGCCAAACGTTTTGATCCATCAGTGGCAAAACTAGCTCAAAGTATGCAGAAGCAGTTAAACGCTTCACGTTATACGATCCGTGCTGGATCAGCGTTTACACGGTGAATAAATGTTATTATGTTTTGCTGACCCCAGTGTTGGTTAGATTCCTCTTCCGAGCGCTTGTCGGTTCAAAGATCAAGAAGAGCATTTGTACAGCGCACCTCTGGTTTGTGGAGATAAGTGGAATGAATATGTGTCTGCAGGGTTTCAAAATGGACCTTAGAGCTAAGGAGCCAGTTGTGGCCAAGACTATTGACGATGTGGGACTCTTTTTGTCTGAGCTGCCTAGAGAGACACCGTCACCTGAGCATAGAGGTAACACACAAAACGTATTTATAATTCAGAAAATTTGTTTTATACACACCCCTCGCTTGCTTTACTTTAATGAAAATTGTCAGCCCCTTAATGCTTGCTTTGCTGTTTTAAATCATTTTGTATGTAAGATGGGCATGTATGAGAGGCCATTTAGGCCATAATTCATTCTTTTACACTCACACATTATTTACCTTTCTGATGCGTGTTTTGAAATCACATGTATGAATATACTTCTCATATGTGCATATTCTTTCACACATAAATTTTAATTTTAGCCTACATCTACTTATATTGTATACATATATATGGGGTAACGGTAGGGCAGCCGACTTGGCACCCCAAAGTCCCAGGTTCGATCCCCAGCCATTCTCGCATGTCGTGGTGTCTCTGAGCAAGACACCTAAGCCCTAATTGCTCTCTGTGCACTTACATAGCTGACCACTGCTCCACCTCGGTGCATCCCAGGTGCGATGGGTTAAATTCAGAGAACCAATTTCACCATTGTATGGGAGCATACAATGATGAAAACACATAACACTTTACACTGAGAAAGGAGGAGTGGTGGCACAGAGGTCAGAAAAGGCCAGCCTGTGATCGGAAGGTTGCCGGTTTGAACCCTCCTGATCGTAACATAAAAATTATGTGTGGGAAAAAGTGAAAAACGGTAGCCAAATGATGCAAATTAGCTCAGAGTGACAACCCCATAATAAGGGAGAAGGTTAAAAAAATAATAATAATATATATATATATATATATATATATATATATAATATATATTATATGTATACATATCGTATTTTCTGCTGTATAAGTCGCATCAGTCCAAAAATGTCTAACAAAGTGGACAAAAACATAAATAAGTCGCTTCGTCTTATAAGTCGCATCTATTATGCATCACCGCTGACGCGTCGCATTTGTTGTACGTCACCGCTGCCCACCTGGAAACGTGGGCTGGTGTTGTGCCAAAAATACATTGGCTGCCAAATGGCGGCCACTGGAGCGCGCACGGGAGGACTTTAACAAAAAATTTAACAAGATTAACGCTTAAAAATAATAGTTTGCTCGAAATTATAGCAAAGATGTGTCACAGTCTAACTTTTCCTTAATAAATGCAATTTAATGGTCAAATCAGATGCATTTTACCTGGGCGGTGCGGCAAAATGCATCTGATTTGACGTTTGCTTCAGTTCCGAGCAAGACGAAGGTGGCTTGGTATGGCAAGCCAAGTGTCTCATTAATAGCCATTTTTAACTATTAATGAGACACTTGGCTTGTCATAATGCTCAAGGGCCCTCTAGTGGCTGCAAATGGTAGTGTTTAATATTTTTCATGTCAGAATGAAAGAACTCGTCAGATCTCAGCCAAAAATTGGGTTATAAATATGGGGAAAAAAATAATTATATATATATATATATATATATATATATATATATATATATATAT